ATCTGGGAGTTGTATAAAATTATTTACAGGTTGGTTTGTCCAAAATATAGGGGAGATAATGCCGAAATTTTCATTAAAATATTTTATAAGTTTCACATTGGAGTAGCCTTGATGGTGGGTCCAACTTTTAGTTGGTATCCATCATTGGCGCACATTACACTCCGAGTCCACTAACTTTATCTGGGGTGGGGCGTGTCATCTTCGATGCATATACTCTTAAGTCTCGTCTCAACTTTTAGGCGATCATTGTTAAGGGATAAAATTTCACATCAAATAAAGATGAAAATATAGATCAACTTATAGAGGATTGTGCTACTCCTTTTAATAAGTTTGACATTTTAAGGTGGAAAAGCAAGTCTTACTGTGATATCGAACCCATTACGTTTGAACGAGCAATTCGATCCGAATAAAACTAAAAAAATGATCTTACGAGCCACTATCTTGCGGGGCATATCAAAGGATAAAATCCTACATCAAATAAAGATGAAAACGTTGACTAACTTATAAAGGATTTGACTACTCTTTTTAATAAGCTTCCTTTTAAGATGGAACCACTAGTCTTGATAATCATAAACAATTGGTTCAAGTAGCTTATGAGCATCAGAATTCCAGCTTGTAATTTGTAATCGAGGTCTCCATTGGCCATCTCCACACAGAACGCTACCCCCAAAAGGGCAATAATGCTACTGTTTGATTGAAGAACATTTTCTTCCTTTCTTCATTTATTTCTTAACTAGGTGATTGAACAATATTATAGCACATAGTTTTCTTCAAACCCTTCATAAAATTGAAATCAAATAAACAAAAATGACAATTTAGATCTAATTCAAAATCTGTTGCCATTCCACATTCCAAATTAACTGCAAAACCAATTTTTCTGATCTTCATTTTATGTTTATATCAAGAAGTTCACTGGAGGTTAAAATATGTATATTTATTTGGAACACACTATTGGACAGGTCTAAGAAATAAGTATTTTAACCTCTTTTCCTTCATCAATACTATCTAATACTCTCTACCGAACACGATAAACGCGTAAGAAATGGGGAGAATTTTCAATACTTGGCATATATCACATGGAGGGAGCTTGTTGGAGGGACATTCAAGAAGCAGCCTTTGGTGTTTGCTTGCAAGTTTGTTAGCAGCATGCACTTCAATATCACATTCCGCGCACAAAGCCGCCTCATCCGCGCAGCATATCACAGTTGCTTGAGCTTTCTCACACACATCACACTGGATCTTCATCTTTCTTCACAGATCCCAGTTTCACAACCAATTCCTGTACTTTTTTCTTCAATAAGCAGCAATCATAAATCTACCTTTAAGACATAGCCCAAAAGCGGAATCTTTTCAAGATTAAAGAAAAACCCAGAATAAAGTGTGTGAAAGAATATCAGGCAAAAAGAGCCTTTTCCAAAAAGTATCTGCTAAAACCTCAGATGGGATTTTTGAGTTACAGAACAATTTTCTAGTAAAAAAATTTAGGTCGAGAAATCAAGAGAAATCAGTGAAGGATGTGAAGATAAGGGGCGTACTAAGTGCTAACACATGTTTGAAGCAACACAGCTTTTGTGGGGTAAGGGCAAAGGCCATATGTGTGGCTGTGGTGGAAGGAACATCACTAGTGGCCTTCAGAATTGACATTAATGATGTATGTGTGTTGGCCCAGTGAATTAATTTCTTACCTGCATGCAATTATGGTTGGATGTAAAAAGATAGAATTTTGCTATACAAACATAATGGTTGACATAGAGAATGACACAATATACACATGTGGAATGTCGGCATTATTTAATTCAGGTTGGGACCTACATACAATGTGAGAGGTCGGTTAACCCCTATGTCAAGCATTATGTTCATTTAGCTTAATTCAAAAAGATAAGACTATTTTGGATTGTGGGATATTTTTTCTTTTTTAAATCATTCTCCATGTACAAGGTGGGGTTCTCCGTTCTCGCAGATTATTATTATTATTATTATTTTTTAACTTTTTTATCGAGGTGGGTGAGGGTGTAGCTATGTACATTTGGATTAATTTTTTTTTCTATTTTCAAATTTTATTTATTTCCTTATATGCAAAGTTATTTAACCCTCGTTTGAGCCCCATTGTAGGAGAAAATATATTTTTAAAATAGTGATTTTTTTTGGAGAATGTGTAATAAAAATTTGAAAAAAAAAAC